AGGCGGGGCATGCAGGCTTCATGATGAAGTGCTCAAGGAGGATTCGCAGCTCGGTGAACAGAGTGCTGACAAAGAAATAACAAAATAGGCAACCCTCAATGGAGACCAAAGTAGAGCAATCACAGATATTTTGTAGCTCTCTTACCGGCAATACGGGTTTCTTCTGGATGTATAGCGCAGGCTGAGGAAGCGATAGTAGATGAAAGGCAGCAGCAAGCTTCCCTGGCCACTGGAAACAAAATAGGTACAAAATAATAAAACGATAGTCCATAACATTTTAAAGGAGAAATTGAATGGCTCACGCACAAATACAATTCCAATGAAGTTGGGACGTTGTGTTAAACACGAATAAAAACAGAACACCTGTACAATAATTTGCCAATCATGTTCAACCTATATTTAATTGAATACACTACAAAGACATAATATTTCATGTTCAAACTGAGTGGCTTTGTTTCTAACAAACACTCATTAACTTAGAATTTTATGGTGGCAACACGTTCCAAAAAAGGTAGGACATATGGCAAAAAAGACCGAAAGTTGAGGAAAGCTCAACAAACACTTATTTGGAACATGCCACGGGTGAACAGTTAACTGGAAACAGGTTGGTGTCATGATTGAGTATAAAAGGAGCTTCCCTGAATGACTTAGTCATTCACAAGCAAAGGTAGAGCAAGGTTCACCTCTTTGTGAACAATTGCATGAGAAAATATTCTGGTTCCTCAACGTACAATTGCAAGGAATTTGGAAATTTCATCATTTACGGTCCAAAAAATTATCAAAAAGAACGTTTCAAGGAAATCCGGAGAAATTACTGCACGCGAGCGACAAGGCTGAAAAACAACATTGAATGATTGATTTGATCCCTCAGGCCGCACTCCATCAAAAACCTACATTAATGTGTAAAGGATATCACCACATGGGCTGAAGAACACGAATGTCAGTAGTTACAGTTTGGCGCTACATCCATAGGTACAACTTAAAACTCCACTATGCAAAGCAAAAAGCCATTTATCAACAACACACAGTAACGCCGCCGGCTTCTCTGGGCCCAAGCACATCTAAGATGGACTAACGCAAAGTGTGAGGGGGAGTGTTCTGTGGTCTGAAAAGTCTAATATTTCTAATTGTTTGGGGAAATTGTGCAACTTGTGTCCTCCAGCCCAAAGAGTAAAAGAATCATTCCGACTGTTATGGACGCAAAGCTCAAAAGCCAGCATGTGTGATGGGGTTATGGGGCTGCGTTAGTGCCAATGGAACGGGTAACTTACACATCTGTGAAGGCACCATTATCGCTGAAATGTACATAAAGGTTTTGGAGAAACATATGCCGCCATCCACGAAGCATTTAAAAAAAAAAAAAAAACGACAACTGCGACCCGGGGCTGTTGAACAGCTGAAGATGTACATCGAGCAAGAATAGGAAAGAATTCCACCTACAAAGCTTGAACAATTTGTGTCCCTAGTTCCCAAACATTTATTGAATGTTGGAAAAAGAAAAGGTGATATAACACAGTAGTAAACATGACTTTCTCAGCTTTTTTTTGAATGTTTTACCTTTTTGAACCTTAAAATTCGAGTAATTATTTGATGCCAAAGCACAGGCTGACAGAAAAGTACTTAATTTGTGTCAAGGGAAGTATGTGGGAGTAACACATCGACTGAGAAAGTAATATTCGCACGTCAGTGAGGAGCTAACTTTAGCCTGTATTGTTAGCAGACATTACAGAGTCCGCAGCATGTGCCCGTTTTTGGTTATTGCTGTGTGCTCCTTGCTGGATGTTTGCTCTGGCTGAGCAGAAAGGCGAGGAAAAATTGCTTCGGTTCGAGAACTGCATCTCTGAACAAATGTTTGTAAATCATCAACAAAATAATTCCTCAGAGATGGACACAACAATGTTAAGCCACCTTTAGATGGACACAACAATGTATGCAATACCTCTCCACATGACAAAGTCATCTTTAAACTTAGTTTGAAATATGTTCTAAGAGAGCCGCTATTTTCGTTCGCATGTTAATATATATATATCTATATATATATAATAAATAAAAACTTAAAGAGCATGTGTGCCGTGTTTTGTGCACTACCTGAAGAGCATGAAGACAGTGGCAGGCATCAAGAAGATCTCATTACAGGCAATGAACTTGAGGATGTTCTGCTGATTGGTCGACATCTTGTCCAGGAGGTTCCTGATGAACATCAGGCTGCCAGGGCCCACCGACTGTCCGGATGACGAAGACGACGACAACAACAACAACAATGCTGTGATATGGAGCCAACCCCCTGCCATTTGTGTTTAGTCATTTACAGAATTCATCTGTGCAAGTTCCCCCCCGAGTGAACCCTGACCTGACCATAACACTTACCGACTACTATAGCAGGCAATTATACTTCGCTTTAGGTGTTTTTTTTTGGGGGGGGGGTGAGGGGGCAGGGGGCTTAATTGTTTGCTATTCACAGCATGAAATGTGACTACTGCAGTGAATCTACTGTATGGAAGTTGGAAACTTCTACTCGATTTTTTTTTTGTGTGTGTGTTAGCAACATGATGATAGATTTACATAATGAAAACTCACTTTTGGATTATGTAAAATTTGTTCCTTTCTGCAACAACCCTCTAACACAGAGGTCCCCAACCTTTTTTGCCCCACGGACCGGTTTCATGTCAGACAATATTTTCACGGACCGGCCTTTAAGGCCGGAGAGATACAACAATATAATATGATATGACCTGCATGAAAAGTGTGGTATTTTCGAAACATAATAATAAACACAAATCATGACACGAGGAACGTCCTATCTGGCCGCAACATTCTCTGGTCGCTATGGTAACGTTTAAATGTGCCTTCAAAATAAGATACGCCGCAAATTAAAAGTGCATGAAGAATACGACTCACCATCGCCACTTATTATGCATAGTAGGCTTAGTGCGTGTGAATCTCCCGTTGAGATAAAGCCGTATTTGAAAAAAGACTCCTGATACCGTCTATTAAATGTAGCTTTCACTTTCTTGAAAGTCGTAGGCTCCTCTTCGGCCTCCTGGCCGGGCCGAAAAAATTTTCAAAGACGTTTGTTTTTTTATGCGGTAACCTCTCACGTGACCGAGAAGCACGCATTCACCTGGATCAAGAGTGACATACTTTAGACCAGGGGTTTCAAACTCATTTTTGTCATGGGCCACATTTTAGTTACGGTTTCCCTTGGAGGGCCGTGATGACTGAACCCATAAAAGAAAAAAAAAAAAAGTCAATCATAACGGTTTATTTAACTACTGTTTAAGTTACTGTCATGAGGGGTTTGGTAACAAGAAAATGCTGACAATATGTCTCTTATTTATTACATATGAGAATTTTATGTTGGTAGAGATTTTAGCAAGCATCATGGAAGTTGACATGCTTGATTTGCTTTCGCGGGCCACAAAAAATGATGTGGTGGGCCAGATCGGGCCCCCGGGCCTTGAGTTTGACACCATGCTGTAGACTGATATAACAGAGAATCCGGTAATTTTTCAAAATAAAACATCTTTCAGATTCCGGAATGAATAAAACGGAAGGAATGTAAGTTATTTATTCTTTCTGTGCAGCCCGGCACCAAATGACCGGTCCGCGGCCCGGTGGTTGGGAACCCCTGCTCTAACAAGACCGCAATAAAAGTGGAAGCCGGTAACGTTGGTGTAACTCACGTCTAGGACCTTTTTGGTGTAGGTGGTCGCATGGAGCAAGGAGAAGAGGAAGACTGGGAAAATGCTCACTGAAGACAATGTATTAAAGAACAATAATACACAGAGGGAAAAAGTCTGCAACATAGTAAGAGCAGTAAATGTCATTACTACATCACATGCGGAACATAAAGTAAACAAAATGGAGGCCAAATAAAGATCCTCATCAAAATTCTATTAATCTGACAAGTCCTCTTTTTCTGACTGCAAAAAAAAAATCTCAACCATTTTCTCAAATTTCTTAGACTGGCGGTTTTAATATGACGGCACTGGGGAAAGAAAACCCTAACTATTCCCCCTCATCCCTCCAACACTTGCTGTATTGTTGTTCGCCTAGGGGACAAAATGAAGTACCGTATTACCGCACCATAAGAAACATCTAAAAGCATTCAGTTTTTACTTTAATGGGAAGTCCGAAATAAAATGTTTAAAAATGACAAAAAAAGAGACATGCGAGTTTTTCACGGGACAGCGACAATACATGGTTCTCCATTAAGGCAACTCTGCCTTAAACAATATTTAACCCACTTCAGCTCATTGTGCAGGCAAGCGCCTTGAATTGAAGGATACTAGTAATGGGGTAGGAGTTGACCAGGATGAGCGAGTAGAGCAGGTAGTGGCAGCTGTCCTCCTGCAGCGCCTGCGCCACAAATGCCCGGCTCAGCTGGAACCTGGGAAGCCTCTGGTGCAGGCGCAAGGCGCTGGTGAGCGCGTTGGCCAGCAGTGCTCGCTGGTAGAAGTTGGACGCCGCATTGGGCCTAAAACAAGAGGGGTTCCGCATGATAAGAGATTTGGTTCCTCCAATGGACGGCTGTGTTAGTGCATACTCACCCCAAGATTGGTAGTATGAACATGATGGAGCAGTAGACGGTGAAGAGGCGGGACAGCCACATGGCCGTTTCCAGTTTGTTGCTCATTAAAAATTGCTATAGGAGGATTAAAAAAAAATAATGCTGTTATTTTGCTCCACATATTCGCAGAGCACTGCTGATCCCATCTTGAATGCCGCCTTTTGCGACAACCGCTAGCAAGTATTACCACAGACAACATTTACATTACATGTACAAAGTACGTCTTGAGTACGTCGATGCCGTAATGGATGTGGCAAAGTGAAGACATTGTGAAGATGCTTCCTCCTTGGAAATGTATCACCAAGCAAAAACTTAACTGGATTAATATGGAATTATTGCTTTTGATTATATGATGTTATCCAAGCTCAATTTTACGATATTATTTGCAGAATTTAATATTGAAGCCACATTCAAAATGGCGGATGAGCTGACATATCGCTTTGACACAGTTCAACAATAGTCTGCTACAGAATTGACAAGAAAAAGCAAATGGATTTGTATATTCATTTTAGATTTCAAAAGACTTTATGGATCCCATGGAATCTTATATTAAACGGTTCAAATGGCTCTTTAGTTGCCGACCTTCCATTAGTCTGCTTGAACCATAGTGAAGTCAGTCCCTGCCGCATACAAACACGGCGAACATCTACACACAAGCGGCACGTCATATTCGGTCTGAAGTAGTTAGTGTATTGGCTGATTACACACGTAAGGCAGGCTCGGCGTGTTTCTGTCAGTCGTTAAGTGAAATGGGTGTCCGTAGGTACTTAACCCAGTTAGGGACGATTAAAATGACAGACGAAAAACCCCTTCCGTCCTTGCTTAGTCCGTCCTTTTTAAAAAACTTCTTGTCCTCCATTCCCAAAATGGTCATCCGTCCTGGGGACAGAATCCCCATCACTGCAATATACACTCAAAAAACATTGAAGGGGACAGTCCATTCCAAATTGACACTTTTTAAAATAGACTAACTGTTCGTACAGCGAAACCCCGACTATTCACAATTGACACAGTCGCAACCCAGCAAGTCTTTGATTTGTTGCCTATCCCGAAATGTGTCC